TTTTTTTTTTTATTGTAAAGCGTTCATCGGAACATGCAGAGCATACGCACACTAAGACTTTTTCAACTGAGCTCTGGACATGTTTGTCATCAAGATACATCCGATTGAACGGTGGCTGGCATTCCAGCCAGATTCAGCCAGCAAAGCTTCTGGTATGAGTATGCCCTCAGTCAAGGGCTCTTCCCGAAGTACTTGCCAGGAATCACCGCCAGATTCATCCAGCAAGGTGTCTAATGTGAGTATCCGTTCAGTCAAGGGGACGTACTTGGCAGGAATTTCCACCAAATTCATTTGAGGAGTTTTCCAAATGTGAGTATGCCTTCAGTCAAGGGCTCTTCCTGACGTACTTGCCTGGAATTACTGCAAAATTCATTTGAGGAGTTCTATGTATGCCTTCGTTCTTGTAGAGGTGAATCCGATATCATCAGGAGGCTAACGCCGAGGCCGACTCAGGGCGATAGCATGTGAGAACAGAGCGGATGCGCACTTGTTTGCTGTCCAAACCAGAGGTATGTATCGTAGATAACCCCAAAATAGGGAATTTTTTTTTGTATGTCGCAAATACCAAAAGGGTAGCTTTTCTTTCCCTTTTCCCTCCCTTATCTTTGAGCTTTCATGTCTCCCCGAGCCCTACAGTAGTTCCCAGTTTCGAGTTTCGGCCCAAGTCTCAAGTTTTGACCCCCTAGAGAGAGAGAGAGAGAGCAAAATCCGATTTACAGTGCAATTACATTGTCCCTCAAGTCTTATATGTTTTTTGACGTCTAGGAATGTAGTGGGATCTGGTTTTGAAAAATTTGGCGCATTGTTTGAGATTTGTTGTTGCCGTAGTGGCCAGGGCTACCATCTTCCCTCGAACGGAACACACCTCCTCTAGATTGCAGCGGACCGAGAGGAGGTGGGGGGGGGGGGGGGGGGGGGGAGGGTTAGTGTATATGCATTCATAATTAGGGTGCTTTTTTTTTGGTGGTGGTGGGGGGGTGTTGTTCTTGCCGAGGTTGAATTAACGGCAGAGATTACATCTGAGAAGCCAGTTAAGGGAGGGGTAGAGAAATTGGTGGACGTTTGAGTCATGTTATTCTGCATCATTGGGAGAAGAGGTACTTTTTTCAGGAATTTGCTGCTGCTGCTGCTGCTGCTGCTGCTGCCGCTGAAAACCAAAGGCTACGCAGGATAGAGGGGAATAAGAAGGTGGTCAGAAATTTACTTAGTCAAAGGTTAGGAGAACTTAGGACCGATAGATACTGGTAGTTTAGCATAGGTTGAAAACAGGAGCGAGCTTATGAAACAACCTGTCTGTTCACTTTGCATCTAGCGAAGCAGATCTTAACTTTTTTGGAACATACATACAGTTCCTTGTCTTCATGCCGGGTGGTCGCCCATCGTTCACTTGCTTGGTATTCCTTTTTCTCCCATTTAAGAGGTTGTGTAGAAGAACATCCCTCTCTCTCTCTCTCTCTCTCTCTCTCTCTCTCTCTCTCTCTCTCTCTCTCTCTCTCTCTCTCTCTCT